GACCCTGTGACAGTGCGGCATTCGCTCAATACTGACCCACCAATAATGCAGCACTCCCTCAGTTTTGACCCTCTGAAAGGTGCAGCACTCCCTCAGTACCGACCCTCCGACAGTGCGGTGCTCCCTCAGTACTGAAGCTTCGTGCTGGCTGTTCAAGGATAATGGCTATCGATGGCAGTGGTATGAAATGACTGAAATTGAGGGTGTGAAGTGAAATTATTTTAATGTCAACATTTGTTTTGAATTAGGAAACTTATGAGAAGACTACGCAAGACACCACTTGTTTGATAACGGAGGATCGAGGTCACCCAGATGATGAGTTCTTCGGCCGTGATGCTAGACCTGAATGTGGGAGCAGTCAGCAGGAACAGGATGGTGTGCAGCCTCTACTTTCAATCTGCAAAGAGCTAATGGGCTATCACCTGGATTCCGAAAAGGTAATCAAGTGCCAAAACAGAACTCTAGGCTAATTTGCACATGGTTACTGTCGATTCAGGCTGCAAGGATTTTTGAAATTCTACCTGAATGGTGTGCAAATTAACATAGGATCAAACAGTGCAAGAATTGAATGCAATTATAGAGTGATGAGGTGAACAGAAGTCTCAGTTCATGTGGCATTGGCACCAGCACCAGGGGAAGAGAAGCTGTCGATGGGATTCACACTAACAATGTTGTGGGAGGTTTGCAGAGGGAAGGGGAACTTCATAAATCTCAAATAAAAAGTTAACACCACAGACTCTGAATGGTATAAAAACTATCAGAGGAAAAAAACAAAGAAATTAACAGTAATAGCGAATCGGTGAATTGATTTATCAGAGAAATTGGTAAAAAATTAAAATTAAACCATGAGACCATCAGATGTTGGAGCAGAAGTAGGCCATCCAGCCCATCAAGTCTGCACTATTCAGTGAGGTCATGGTTGATCTGATAATCCTCAACTGCACTTTCCTGCCTTTACCCCATAATCCTTGATTCCCTTACTGATTAAAAATCTGTCTATCACAGCCTTGAATGTACCTAATAAACCAGCCTCAACAACATTCTGCAGCAAAGAATTGCACAGGACCTACACATGACTTCACACTGAGCTGTGACCGGAATAGTGACGTGTAGCACAACTTCACACTGAACTCCGACCAAAATAGTGACGTATAACGTGACTTCACACTGGATTGTGACCAGAATAGTGACCTGTAGATCAAATTTCACACTGAACTGTGGTCGGAATAGTGACCTGTAGATCAAATTTCACACTGAACTGTGACCGGAATAGTGACCTGTAGATCAAATTTCACACTGAACTGTGACCGGAATAGTGACCTGTAGATCAAATTTCACACTGAACTGTGACTGGAA